CGTCCCCCAACTCTTAATAGAGTCTAGATTTGGTCCCTCAACTTCAAAACCGGACAATTTACACCCCAACTACCGAAACCGGACAAGGTTCGTCCCTGTACTCAGTTTTCACCGGTTTTGCTGCTGACCCACCCCGGTTTTCACCAGTGCTCACTTACACTTTTCAAATCCGTGCAGTTTTTTCAAATCCGTGTAATTTTTTTATATCCGTGAACTTTTTGAAATTCACTTACACTTTTCAAATCCGTGCAGTTTTTTCAAGATCACGTATTTTTTCCAAAATAAACATACTTTTTTCAAATCAGCGAACTATTTTGAAATTTGTATACTTTTTTTCAAATCCTTGATTTTTTAATATTTACGTACTTTTTTCAAATCCCCGTATTTTTCCCAAATTTTTGTAATTTTATCAAATACAAGTATTTTTCAAAGCCATGAACTATTTTTGAAATTCGCATGCTTATTTCAAATCCACACGCTTTTCAAAGTCCGCATATAATCCATGAACTTTGTTTGAAATTCACGTACTTCTTTCAAGTCGACATAATTTTTGAAATCCACATATTTTTGCGTAAAAAAAGTCCATATCCGCGTACTTTTTTCAAGTTTGCGTAAAATTTTCAAATTCATGAACTCTATCCAAAAAAATGTACTCGAATATGAAAAGGTACATCGTTTTTAAAAAGTTAAATGAACTTCAAAAAACTACATGAACTGTAAAAAAAATGTGCATATTTGAGAAAGTACATGAACTTCGAAAAAGTAAGTAGATTTAAAAAAGTGCACAAATTTTAAAAAGGTTCATGTATTTGAAAAGAAACCAAATTTGAAAACAGCACGCGGACTTGGAAGAAGTAGGCAAATTCGAGTGTCAAAACCGGGATAGGACATCACCAAAACCGGGCAAAACCGTGACCAGGGATGAATCTTGTCCGGTTTTAGAAGCTAAGGGTGCAAGTTATCCGGTTTTGAAGTTGAGGGATCAAATCTAGACTCTGTCAAAAATTAAGGGATGAAAAATATACTTTTCCGTTTTATTACTGGACATTTGACCTTCCAGGCCAACGCAGCTGCCGAGTTTCGATCCAGCGACGCCAAAGCTCCTTCCTTCATCCACCCCACCGGCGACCAGCCAGGAAATGGCGGAAACGAGCTCCCTGTCGGTGACGGACGACCTCTTGGCGGAGATCTTCCTCCTGCTGCCCACCCCGGCCGACCTCGTCCGCGCCTCCGCGGCCTGCGTCGCCTTCCGCCGGCTCGTCACGGACCGCGCATTCCTCCGGCGCTTCCGCTCCCTCCAAGCCCGGCCCTTCCTCGGCTTCCTCAACCACAACGGCTTCCACCCCGCCCGCCCGCCCCACGCCTCCGCGCCCGTCGCCCACGCCGTTTCCCTCGCCGCGGATTTCTCCTACTCCTTCCTCCCTTCCCACGACAGCTGGATCGTCCGGGACGTCCGCGACGGCCGCGTCCTCCTCGACCGCACCCTAGAGGACGACGCTGGCGAGGATTCCCCTGTCTTCACGGAGCTCGCGGTGTGCGACCATCTCCACCGGCGGTGCCTCCAGCTCCCCCCAATCCCTGACGACCTAGCTGCTTCGGTGGAGCACCCACTCCGCGTGGAGTTGGAGCGCTGGTGCGAGCCCTTCCTGGCTCCCCCAGGCGAGGATGAGGCGGAAGAAACGTCATTCAGAGTGATCTGGATGGCGCAGTGCAAAACGAAGCTGGTCGCCTTCGTCTTCTCTTCAAGCACGGGAGAATGGCGAGCCGTTGCGTCTCAGGTCTGGGGCGATTTGTTAGTGGGCACCGGCGTGTCGACGGCGTCCTCCAAGAGCCCTGTGTTCTTTGGCCGACAATACGCTTGTGCCTGCTTCTACTGGGTCATGGACTGGAGGCAGAAATTGCTCATGCTTGACACAAGAAGGATGGAGTTCTCCATTGCCGACCTCCCACCTGGCTGCCGAAGGCCACCGATTGCCATTGTGGATGCTGGGGAAGGCAGACCTGGGATGTTTGCTGTCCGAGAACACGATGCAGATGGCACATTTGACCTCTATTATACCATTAGGCAGATCCAAGGTCCGAGTTTCAACCAGTGGCAGATGGAGAAGACGATCCCATTGGAATCCGGGTACCGGTATTACCTGAGAGGTGCAACAGAGAGGTATTTGCTACTACTAAGATCCGAAGATGACTCCGCAAGTTCATCATCGTTAGCGATGTCAGACTTGGAATGTTTCTCACTGGACGTCAAGACATTGCATCTTGAGAGCATCTGCAGGTTGAAGCATCACATCCTACGCGCACACATATATACCAACTTCCCACCATCGCTGTCGTCACAGACAATATGAAAGGGGTAAGCACTCTGTTGCATCCTAATTATCTCCGTACCTGCATAGTTATCACATAACTTGTTTGGTGCTTGATAGTTCATTATTGTACTCCCTCCGTTCCTAAATATAAGTCTTTGTAGAGATTTCACTATGAACCACATACGGATGTATATAGATGCATTTTAAGTGTAAATTCATTCATTTTGCTCTGTATGTAGTCCATCTAGTGGAATCTCTACAAAGACTTATATTTAGGAACGGATGGAGTAGTAGGCAAGTCTTGTTTAAAGGGTTGTGTTTATTTCTCCTGAGCTTCTGGGAAAACTAACTTAAATCAGGAGCGATAGTATTTGCTTGCCATCTTGATTATTCAGACGAGTAAAGAAAGGGTCTTCCACACCATAGATCATTGAGTAATATCCATCCACCATTCAGTGACCAAGTGGAATTGCAGAAATCACTAAATCTTTTGTGTGTGACAAATATATGTAAAGATAAAGGGATTGCCTAATCTGGGAAGCAGTAATTGTGTAAATGTACTACACTCAGGTTTATATCCTTTTACGTATGCGATTGTGTGATGTAACTCGAACAACCATGGTAAGAAATATATCTGGGCAGAGCCCCTGAATTTCGGCTCCTGCGGATGTAGGCACACAGCTGAACCTAGCAAACAAACAAAGCTTCATGTCTTCTTCCTTGGATTTGATTGCTTTTCCTTGGTAGATTGTGTGTTGTCTTGGCTCCAACAAGATGACAATAACCAACTATAGGAGTGTTTTATGGTTAATCTAATAGAGAAGGAATATAAGTTAAAATCCAGTCAAGCATGACTTATCTTGTCCACTTTTCTTGATAGATATAAGGTCACCAAAGTCCGTTTTTTGGTCGTCGTCTCATCTGTAATTTTCATGATTTTGAAATAAATCAAATTAACTGGTATGGCTGCAACAGTCTGAATCTCATCAGAACCAATCAAAATGGTGAACCGGCAAGAACTTGTGCTTCGAAGATATTTAGCCCTCAATATCAATTAGAGC